TATACAGCTGTTACTAGTCCCTTGCGGTCTATGAAACGTGTCTTTGTTGGTGGGTGTATGGGGGGGGGAGGGAAAAGAGAGAGCTGAGGTTGTGAAATGTACATGGAAAATATAGTCAGAGCAGATTGTGCTAGTGCTGGCTAATGCAGAGTTGGCATAAGGCAAGTTCCCAAACAACCGAATCGAATTCCTGCCTCCCCACCCCACCAAAAAACTCCTACTTCATCCCTACATTTTAATATCCCTCTGGGCTTCCACACAGAAGTTCGTGCCCATGACTCAGTTGCAGCGATGGGGTGGCTGCAAATTGGGCTCTTGGCGCATTTGCTACAGCCTCTGCTGCAGAAAGACCTGGTGAGGTTGCCATGGCAACACACAGCGGAGGCCTGTCTATTCAGGCCAAGGTTTTCCCCACTCGCAATGCCAACCCATGGGGGCATAACTGGAGTCTCAATACAGTTTAGGATAAACCACCAACAATTTCTTCTCTCCCAATCTGTACTTTTTCAGCCTCCTGAACTTTTAGGTGTGTGAGAGAACAGAGGAAACCCGGATCTTGGAGTATGTGTAAAACCTTAAGAGGGTTGCTGTGATAATTGCATGTATGTAAATAGCTTGATTTGTAGCTGTTCATTATTTATTTTCAACTGTTTAACACAAACGTGACATGGTGCTTGCTCGGTGGGGTTATCATGTTGAAAAGAAAATGAATAATAAACATGTTGCAGAATGAGAGGAGAGCTCTCAACGATGGAGATGCAGGACTACAGGGAAGAGATAACTAAATGTGCCATAGATGAAAGGTTTCAGGAGAAGGGAATGTCGTGGTGGGCAGGAGGAAGCTGATCTAGGGACAGGAGCGTTGCAATTAGAAGACACAGGTGGGAAGGGGCAAGAAGGTCGTGAGAAATAAGACATAGAAGGTCCAGGGCAGTGGCCCCAAATTTTCTGATAAAAAGTGGGTCACACTTTTGTTGCATTGAAACTGGTGGCATGCTCACACGAGAAAAGATAAGTGAGCGTTGCCCTCCTTCCCTCAGGAAGGCGACAAACTTAGAGTTGAGAACCCCCTCCAAGAGTAGGTGTTTCTACATCTCTGGATCTGGAGTGTTCAGGTGAGCTGAATCACACCAGATTCAGAGATTGGATAGATTTCTCATCCTCCCAGCAGAGGCCAACTGGAAGGAGGCAACAGAAAAGACCTCTGCAAGATAGTCATCACCCCCTTGTTAACTGAATGCAGAAAGGGGAAGTGAGATCATGCCTGCTGGTATGCCCTCGACATGGGCACACCTGCTGATCTCCCCTCAGCTTCCATATGTTCAGCATTCGTGTGAAAGGGGCCTATGGGTGTACAGTTGTGTGTGAGGCCATCCATGGGGCAATCAGCATTTCTGATCACACAAGGTAGACCTGTGAGCATAGTGCATCATTTCTAGAGACACTTTTCACACTAACACTGATTGCACAAACATGAAGGTATGCTTTGTCCTTCTGCTTGTACAGTGAATGCTTTGTGTTTGTGTGTAACATAATTATAGACTTTTATTCCTATAATGCAGAGTTCCAACAGGCAGGCTATTTTGTATGTTGGCTTTTTTGGCACTCAGGAGCCATCACAATTTAATTATTTGTTGCAGGCAGCATACCATTGTGCCCTGACATACATTTTAGGAATTACTAGCATGGGAGCTAGAATTCGGTACAGCAAGAAACAAGGATTTAGTATATGCTCAGAGGAACACTTTTATTGCTTCTTCACATTGCTGAAGGTTCTGAAAAAAGCTGTGGACAGATTCCTAGTCAACCTTGATTGATCATTAATCAATATTCATTGTTAGTGACCAAGCCACTAAGGATGATAGCATATAGCTTAGAAAAACATGTATGAGTGAATGTAATAACCTTTATGTATTTAGTTTTGCAGTACCTTTGAACAGGAAAAAGATGGAGCGAAACTAGATTGTTGTTCAGTTGATGCGGGATCCATATCAAGCAGCCTCTGAGCGCTTGGGCCTTTGGATTCTGATGGGATTAATTCAAATCATAACAAGGAAGGAAGAGGTTGTATCTGTTTATGTTGTTAACCTCTGTTAGGAAGAGGGCAGTTTAATTTGTGCAAAAGTCATCTGGGTTCATATTTGCAACCTTAGACCTCTTCATCCTATATAAAGAGAAACTGTGATTTGAATATGATGGGTTGTGTAGAAAGGAAACTGACCTGATCTACCAAAGGCAACAGCAGAAAGGGTTGGAGCTGAATATAGGGAGCTATTCAGCAGACAACCACAATGCTGGCTGTTCCTAGGACTCTTCGTTTAATTACCGTATTTTTCACTCTATAGGACGCACCCGACCATAGGACGCACCTTGTTTTAGAGGGGGAGAACAAGGGGAAAAAAATCTTCCCCTTGCTGCGCAGCGCCCCTTCAGCGAAGCGGCAGGAGAAATGGAGTCCCTTCCATTTCTCCTCCCGCTTAGCTGAAGGGGGACTGCGCCTTAGCTGAAGGGGCACCTACCCTTCAGCGAAAGGAACCCGAAGCCTCTGGAGCGCAGCGGGAGCTCCCGCTGCGCTCCAGAGGCTTCAGGCGGCTATCTTTGAAGCCTGGAGAGCGAGACGGGTCGGTGCGCACTGACCCCTCTCGCTCTCCAGGCTTCAGTGAAGGAAACCCGAAGCCTCCGGAGCACAGCGGGAGCGCTCCCACTGCGCCTTGGAGGCTTCGGGTTGCTATCGCTGAAGCCATAGAGCCTGCATTCGCTCCATAAGACGCACACACATTTCCCCTTAATTTTTGGAGGGGAAAATGTGCGTCTTATAGAGCGAAAAATATGGTACACTGTGCTTTTTCCCTCTCTCACGCACACTCAAGATGGGCAGGCAAGGAAAAAGTTCTTAAGTCTTCTCAGGCAAATTTTTAGCTCAGTGTTCTCCTCCCAAGCTGCTTACAGGATATGGGGCCCCCATGCACTTTCTCCTGCAACTGGGAGAGCATCAGTGAGCATGTGCATGCAATTTTGAGTTGAAAAACAAGTGGAGAGGAAAGGGTTACAAGAGAAAGGGATAAGAAGCTTCTCTTCCTGCCATTCTCCCACTCTCAGTTGCAGCCTCCAAGACTGCTTTACAACACACACTAATTGGGGGAAAGTAACACACAATTCCATGTCATGTTTATCTGGGGAGGTCCTGAAAGTAGACTCTTTTGAAGTTAGATTTGTAGCAGTGTTGCATCAGCAGTAGCCAGGCCTTCAGATGCCTGGCCCTGTTTCTTCCTGAGGACTCTCTGAATACCAGTTGCTGGATACCACAGAAGCGGAGAGTGTCCTTGGAATTGAATCCTGTTTACTGGTTTCCCCCTGGCATCTGGTTGGCCATTGTGAGGATCCCGGACTAGATGGGTCATTGGCCTGATCCAACAGACACTTCTTATGTTCTTAGAGTACTTCCATCTCCTCTTGGCTAGAGGAACCTGGAGAGGTTCCAAGTGGTTACAGTGAGGGGGGAAAGTATTTGATCCCCTGCTAAATTTGCCCGTTTGCCCTCTGATGTTATTCTGTCTCTCACAGCTACAATAAACCTACCATTAAAATTATGGGCTGGTCATTTCTTCATCAGAGGGCAAACGGGCAAATTTTGAATTCTGGTGCTGGAGGAGACTCTTGAGAGTCCCAGGGACTGCAAGAAGAACAAACCTATCCATTCTGTTTTTTTTTTTAAATAAGATATTTATTAAAGTTTTCAAAATATTACAAAATGGTAATAAAGAAAAAAAAAGAAAAATACAAAATAAAAATAATTTAAAACAACTCAATCTTTCCATTACATATTTTTCATTAGCTTGTTTCCCGGACCGCCTCACGCCTCCCTTTTTTGTATTCCAATTCAGTTTGTTGGTTCAGAAAATCCTTCCCCTCTTTGTTTATCCTAATCCTTAATCTTAAAGTATTATAACATTAAATTTTTACCTGTTAGTAATCCATTTTTCATATTCCCTTATAGTATTGCAGCTAAAAACCACTTAATTTCTATCCAACATCATTCTAACATTCATTAATTTTACAATATTTCTGTAAATAGTCTTCAAACCTATCCATTCTGAAGGAAATCAGCCCTGAGTGCTCACTGGAAGGACAGATCCTGAAGCTGAGGCTCCAATACTTTGGCCGCCTCATGAGAAGAGAAGACTCCCTGGAAAAGACCCTGATGTTGGGAAAGATTGAAGGCACAAGGAGAAGGGGACGACAGAGGACGAGATGGTTGGACAGTGTTCTCGAAGCTACTAGCATGAGTTTGACCAAACTGCGGGAGGCAGTGGAAGACAGGAGTGCCTGGCGTGCTCTGGTCCATGGGGTCACGAAGAGTCGGACACGACTAAACGACTAAACAACAACAACAAAAATACTTTCTCCCCCTCACTGTAGGTGTGTCTTGTGGTTCCTGAAAATGGACTCCACTTGAACCCTCTTACATGTCTAGTCCTTGTAGGGATGAGCTTTCTGTATGCTGTCTCTTTGACTTAGGGCTGTGAAAGCAGCAACCATGACCTTCAACTAGATGAAATACTAGAGAGAGTTTCTTGGAGTACATGATGTCTTAAAAAAATTAAGCTGCTGGTGTCCTTTTTGGTGATGTGCACAATATGGAAGTGAGCGTTATGTGTGGATGGTGTGATGACTGTGGGTTCAGACCCTCCATCTTTAGGGGTTGAGTCTAGAGATATAGGGTGGGAGAGGAAATGATCCTCAGAGCCAGTTCTAGATGCTAAAAAGAGCTTGTTGCACCTCTGGCCTAAGGAGATCATGTTGCCCCCCTTTGACTCCTCTGATGCCAGTTCAGGAGCCTTCCTGTGTGCTATTGAAATGACAGCTGTTAAAGCAAACTATGGCCCTTTGAATAAGGAGCTCCTCTCACTGAAAGTGGAGCTATTTATCAAGATATAGCTCCTTTTTAAGGCACAGTCTAAGGTTTACTGGTGCTGCGGCATTCAAACAAAGACGAAGAACCCCCAGTAGCACAATGGATCAGTGCATCTGGCTGTTAACCAGAAGGTTGGTGGTTCAAGCCCACCCAGGGACAGTTGTGGGCAAGGTTCCTGCAGTGCAGGGGGTTGGACTAGATAACCCTTGGGGTCCCTTCCAGCTTCTGGGATTTTGTGATTTTATTTGTGTTTTGGGGGTAAATAACTTTTCATCTGCGAGGGCTGAAAACGTTGTTTTGTGGTCCTTGTCCTTATCCTGTGGCTTTGTATTAAAGCTTGAACAAACTTTTGTGTGCAGTCAACCGATTGAAAGTTGCTGCTTACACTGTATGCTGGTCTCCATCTGCTTCTGTTCTCTAATGACTTGTCCTATCCAGAATGTATTTAAAGAGCATACGCTGTACCCAATAAAAATCTGGAAAGATTAGTAGGCCTTGCCAGTCAGGATTTCAAAACTTGGTGTTTGAGCTATGTTTGTGTGGGGTCTCGTGATTTTAGAAGTTGGTTTTGCCTTTGTACTGTGGCTCTGGTAGTTCAACAGGTCTGTATAAGAGTGCCTTTTTGGCAGTGGAATAGCAACCTCAGAGGGCTTTCCTGGTGTCTCCTCTGTGGTCTTTCTCATGCCAGGTGAAAAAGGTGAAGACCTTATTTTTCACCCACACTTTTAAACTACTGTATGTTTTAAAGTAATATTTGCTGTCTTGTTTGTAAGCTACCCACGAAATATTTACCAATGGGAGGCTACTATATCAATTTAATAAATACTATTAGTACTAAGGAGGGACGCGGGTGGCGCTGTGGTCTAAACCACAGAGCCTAGGACTTGCCCATCAGAAGGTCGGCAGTTCGAATCCCCGCGACGGGGTGAGCTCCCGTTTCTCGGTCCCTGCTCTTGCCAACCTAGCAGTTCAAAAGCACGTCAAAGTGCAAGTAGATAAATAGGTACCACTCCGGCGGGAAGGTAAACGGCATTTTCATGCGCTGCTCTGGTTCACCAGAAGCGGCTTAGTCATGCTGGCCACATGACCCAGAAGCTGTACGCCGGCTCCCTCGGCCAATAAAGCGAGATGAGCGCCGCAATCCCAGAGTCGGCCGCGACTGGACCTAATGGTCAGGGGTCCCTTTACATTTACCTTATTAGTACTAAGAGTAATATCCAGAGGACTGTTAGTCATTTGCAGCAAAAACATAGCAACACTTTGACCAGGAAGTTCATTGTGAAGAAAGCAAGCAGCCCTGATGTTGCTTATTAGTAAGTATGTTCCCAAAATTTAGCAGAGTAATGTGGGGTCCTGGCACAGTGCAGCAGTGAATGAACTACTCAGATAATATGGAGAATGTGTGCAGTTTTCAAGCCTCTAATGGGATGTACTACCTAGGCCCTTCTGAGTTATTTTAGTCATATGTTCCACATTCACAGGGATGCGTATTCTTGGGAAGCTATATTACTAATTCCACATTTTGTGCTCTTTCTGTGGCTTGGCAGATTGCAGGATCTACACAAGTATGTTTAATTCAATCAACATATTCACAATTTATGCACAAGATTAGTTGAACCCCTCTCTTTCCATAATTCATTGCAGCTTGGAGATTAAAATACATGGCACATCTGTCACCATGTAATGAATGCACCAAGTGATTAGGCTATCATATGATAATTGCAATCATCACCTGGCGCTTATGGCTCATTTAATGGTTTTCTTTGGTAGGAAGCAATTAAGAGACTGGAATTGTCAAACCAGGAAATGCTATGCAGGCTTAGCTTTCCTTTGAACAATGAAATGTTGCCCTAATTGCATACCACCTGAGGTTTTTTTTTTATGTACTGTATTCCTATACTTGTGCTCTGCAGGTCTCTCTAGAGCAGAAATCACACCCCAGCTCCAGTTGTCTCTCAGTTTGCTAGCAAACACTGGTTGGACTTGAACTTTTATGGCTGTGTTTTGATTTTTAACACCCTATTATGATAATCAACTTAATTATGGGAAGTTTCAGGCACTAATCCAAGTGGCAGTAGGTTGCACTGGGGGTGACAAAGACCCTTGGAGCTAGAAAACTGTGGAGGAGACAGCAGTTTCTGCCAAACCAGCGGCTGCCACCACACAGGGGCTGGTGATGTTGTGAGCTTAGACAGCAGCTGAACATTTAACAATCTACAACATGGAAAGCTGCCAGAATTCAAATTAGTGGTTATCCTCAGTTCAAACAAGCAAAGTCAAGGACACATTCTAGTAGCTCAATTTATATTTGCTGCCAGAGAATTTCAAGGTTGTTTGGGTTTTATTCCTTTAATATTTTATTTCTATAAAAACATACTTAAGGCAATGTACAAAAGAAGAAGAAAAACAATTTAAACATGCAAAACAATACACAAATCTTCTTTATTTATGTAGTGCAATATTTCAAAATTTGTATGTTGTTGTTGTTTAGTCATTTAGTCATGTCTGACCCCATGGACCAGAGCACCTCAGGCACTCCTGTCTTCCACTGCCTCCTGCAGTTTGGTCAAACTCATGTTGGTAGCTTCAAGAACACTGTCCAACCATCTCATCCTCTGTTGTCCCCTTCTCCTTGTGCCCTCAATCCTTGTGCCCTCAAAAATTTGTATATCTATTTCTATTTTAAAATGTCTCTTAATACAAGTCATTCCCCCACTTTAACATGGGGAAAGGGAGCTCAGAAATAACTGCAGTCTTGTTCTTACGTTTCACTGCATATGGCTTGGGGAAGGGGTTTCAACAAACAAACCCTTCTCTATTTCTTTTCTGCCTTCACATTCAGCAGTGGGATATATGTATGCTCTCTTGTGGAACAGATGATTTGTTCTGGGTTGGTATAGGTGAGGGAAAAAAGTATTATAAGTTTAAGAAAGAGAAGACAGGTGTATTTGCTGGCGAACACTGTACATAAAGTTCAACCAATCGGATTTGGCTGTTTGACTATACTGTTTTGTTATCTACCTGGAGGATCTTGTTGATTGGGCAGTTTATTTATGTAAAACAACAACAACAACACATAAATAAACAAACATAGAAGTAAATCAGGGCAACAGTAGCCAATTCGGAGTAAAGGCAATTTATACAGAAATCATTATCCTTGCTAGGAATCAGCTTTATTTGCTCTCAGGTGACTTTGTCAAATAGCCAAATCCAATTGGCAAAGTTGGCAGGAGCAGGGACCAAGCAACGGGAGCTCACCCCGTTGCAGGGATTCGAACCGCCGACCTTCTGATCGGCAAGTCCTAGGCTCTGTGGTTTAACCCACAGCGCCACCCACGTCCCTAGCACCACCCGTGTCCCTCCTGCCAACCTAGCAGTTCAAAAGCACGTCAAAGTGCAAGTAAATAAATAGGTACCGCTCCGGCGGGAAGGTAAACGGCGTTTCCATGTGCTGCTCTGGTTCGCCAGAAGCGACTTAGTCATGCTGGCCCCACGACCCGGAAGCTGTACACTGGCTCCCTTGGCCAATAAAGCGAGTGCTGCAACTCCAGAGTCGGCCATGACTGGACCTAATGGTCAGGGGTCCCTTTACTCTTAACCTTTAATTGGCAAATTAGACTTGTGACTCTTAATGGTGGATATTTTTGCTTCTTAAGTAATTAAGAAAGGACACAGGTCAGTATGAAAAGAAGCATAAAGAAAGAGGAGGAAGAGGAGGAAAAAAGAAAGGGATGAAAAGTAGATCAGCTAAGAACTAATGAAACTCCCCAAGCTTAAGTCCAGAAACAAATCAACACGTTTTCTCTAAATAAAAGTTTTTGGAGAAAGATCTTCTTGAGCAATGAGTTCCACCATCGCTTCTTTCACTGCTCAGTCACAGGGGCATTGTGAGACTTGCAACGGCAGAGTCTAATTTGCTAAACACCAAATAAGCAAACACTGAATAAGGAAGAAATATATAATCCTGAGTTAGATGATGAAAGGCAAATGAACTAGATGAAGGCAAATTAAGCTTAATGCAATGCTCCACTTCATGAAAGAAAAAAAACAACCAGCAACATTAGGGCAACTCTAGTACACTTGCACAAAGCCAACACCTTTTGTCAAGGCCACATTTCAGAAATAGAAAGGTTGGAAGAAGGCTTATGTGCACAAGAAGCTGGCACTGCAGGTAGAGTATGGGAGTAGCCCTGTTGGCAGTCAAAGAAGGAGATAAAAGAGAAACTAATATAGGGAGTTCTGTAGGTACTGTGCCATAGAGAACCATGATATTAATTAGGGATGGATGCAAACGTGGGAGTCCATGGAGTTCTCCTGAAAAGGCACCAGCCAGTGCCCACAGCTCAATACCAGGCAACTTCCCTGGCCACACAGCACCACGCCCTAGCACTGTGGCACCTGCCAGCTGGCCTTAATTAACTTCAACTTTCACCAGCTACTGTAACTGACCTGCTCCTACTTGAGCCATTGCTCTCTGCTACTCCTGCTGAGAGGGTTTGGCTCCCACAAGGCCAGATCCTTAAGGCTATAAAGAACTGCTGGTTGGAAGCATTGCAGCGAATTGAATGTACTTGACAAGGGCGACAGGGGCTGTCTGTAGCTCTGTGAGGGCAATGCAAGAAGGTGACATGAGGAATTAACCTGTCCTCGGAACATCCACCAAAGTGACAGTAGAGCAGGAAACGGGGAATAAATAACACACACACACACACACACACCTGTCCAGAGAAAGTCCTTCTTTGCATGACATTGTAAAATTAAGAGGTGCTCTTAGTTTTGTTGATAATTAGGGTTACCACTTAAAAAAAACTTTTTTTTGTTACGTGATTTTAATGTCAGCATACTTAAGGAAATTAATAATTTCTTGGCACTAGGGGAAAGCTTCATTTGTGTGTGTTTCAGGCTGCACGAACCAAGCACCGAAAAATGAAATCCCTTTAGTCTGCTGGTGTTATTCAGAGTAGACTCACTGAAATCAATGGACATTACTACTAACAAGTCCATTAATTTCAACAGGTCTGTTCTGAGGAGTCGTCAGATGAATACCACCCTGAGTTTGGGATTGGGTGTGTGTATGTGTAAGTGAAAGAGGGAGAGAATGGAACCTGAATGATTAGGCCATGGAAGGTTTGGGGGTTTAGGGTATTTTTGCATTTTGA